ACAAATCATTAGAAATATTAAAAAAACGAGAGATAAAAAAAAACTAAATTCAAGATAATCCATCTTGCGATCTAATTGCCAGGGTTTCATCATCATTTCTGTTTTTTTTCTTCATCTTATATTGAATACGCTCCGGGGTTGAACCTCTCGCTTCAATATATATGCATCTCGGCAGTATGACCACCTAATCCTATTATACGATAGGAATGCCGGCACGAGCGCACGAAACGACAACGATGATAACGGTACAATTGCCATAATTTAGTGAACGATGTTCCTATTCTACTACTACATCGATTCGGTTAACATACGATGACGACGAGTGTTTCCTTCTATCTCCATTTTTATCTCGCTCAAACCATTACATGCATGAACACGTTCGTAAACAAGTGATGCATAGAGCCGAATTATATTTCTAGATTTGATCTCGCATTCATAGTAAATCTCAACTGAATACGACGAATAAGAATACAAAAAAACTAAGAACTAAAAAAGAAAGAAAGACGAGAGAGAGAGATTTTCGTCATTCGCTTAAATCCTGATTAGAAATGGTTGATCGTGCGATGATGACATTAATCGCTTTGGTGCATCGAGCAATGAAGAAAAAATAGAAAGAAAACTAGAAGGAAAAAGATGACGAAGAAGAAAAAGAAGATGCGAGACTCTATGTAGATCGTGAAATGGGAAATGAAATTATTCGCTTGCTCTCTCTCCCTCTTGTCGACTGAGAAATGCACGAGATATAGAGAGGACAAATCTAACTTTGCGTGAATGATTTGACGATGCATACCCACACACATACACATAAACTATGTTAGATCGATTTGATTTCTTGATCTCTGTTATTCGAACAAATCGAATTTCAATATAACCCCTCTCTCTCTTTCTTCTCGGCATTTGCACGATTTCTTTACAAAAACAACAATCATTTCTATTATTAATGTCCTTGATTGAAAATGACAACAATTTTTTCTATGAGTGCCAATAATTTAGGATAGACTAATGAGCTAATACTACTAATATTCAACTGAACAAGGCCCTCGAGGCATAGTCTTAAAAAACAACAAATAAGAACAGTAACAACTAGATTTATTCAAAAAGACGAAAGTCTACAATAATTTTCTCTGAAAATGTTAGTTTGAGTATAGTTTGTGATGTTCACGGGGCGTGACAACAAATAATCACAGCACATGCGGATAATAGTGATGCTCATCCAACTTCCGGACCCATGCTGCTGCACCAACTCTTGATCGATAATAGCTTGTAGCACGCTCTCTTACTCTACGACAAGGAGGAGCATGTTCATCAAGTTCAAACCGTGTTATTACACTCTTCTTATATGTCCTCTCTCTCTCTCTCTTTTTTTCTGTGTTTCTATCCTTGTAATCAGGGGTCATTTACAAAACAAGATAACGAGTATCAAAGAAAAGAACAAAGAAAATGATGAAAAACTGCTGATGAGATGCGACTTTAGTTCGACAAGAGTGTGAAAAAAGAAGAGCGACTGGCCGAGAGTTTGTCTTTGTTCGACGACAATGACGACGGCAAACATAGGTGCAAATGGTTAATTGATGATTTGTATAAATATATATACAAATGTACGGCTGCCACTATTTCTCTTTTTCTCTTCTTGCCTTGATTCATGAAGTAGAGTTTTTAATTGAATGTGCAAGATTTCCGTCATTGCCGATCTATAATGACGGGCAAGAATAACAATTCAAAACTCCGAACGGATACACACTTGGTAGTAAGGAAAAAGAAAATCATTTGAATAAATAGCTGAAAGTCGAGAAAGTTATTGTTGATTATCAATATAAAACTGTCTGTATATTCATTTTTGAGAGTTTTTTTATATGAGGGGGGGAAAAAAAAAGAAAATGAGACGAGAAAAATGAGCCTCTTTTTCTTCAACTTTCTTCTTCTATTTTTTTTGGTAAAACTGATCGTATGCGATGTCATACTCGACCATACTAATTGCAATAGCAGAAGAAAAGTTTTCTTTTTATTTAGTGTATGATAATCAATTAGAGTAAAAACTTCTACGTCTTACCTATCACTGTTGGATCGCATGATAAAAAGTCAAGACATATATACAAAACGCAGACAAATGTCTTTCTTATCATTCATTGACATAGCTAACTTTGAGATGAGGAAATGGTGACGAGAGGAAACGGAAAATCCTCACCAATTACAGTATTCGAATCCATCTGATGACGATAATGATGATTGTACAGAGACTTTCTACACCCAAATGAGCTATTCCATATAGATTAACATCCTAAAAATAATATTGTCGGTGTGAAAACAGAAAAAGAAAAAAAGATGCAACTTCAAACCCATTTCTATTTTGTATAGAATTATAAAATAGTTAAAATAATTCATGCAATTCATTATGGTTGATGCATTTGTCTATATACATCTTTTTTATATCTATTATGCTTAGTCGTGCGAAATTAAACTTTTTTTCACATCCATATGCTTTTGTCCTTTTTGATCGAAACACAATTGTATCACGAAAGCATTCGTGTGTATTACCATCAGAATTCATCAAGAAAAGCTTGCCGAAATGGATATTCTGAAAATAGATTTTCCTTGGTTCAATGAATAAAAACACATAAAAAAAAAAAGTATATCTATTTAGTTGTTTCTTTTTTCTTGATTGCTATTATGAATAATAATGTTAGTAAATATTTTTTTGATTATTTTTATCATACTTGATTCAATTGAATCATCATCAGCATTTGCTTTTTGTTTCTTAGGACGATTATTTTTTTTTTTTTATCTTATTGTGAACATGAGAAGAAAAAATAATAATGAAGAAAAGCCAGAAAGAAAAAAAAAAGAAAAGGAAAAAAGATGATAGTAATGATGACGTCAAATTACAACACATTTTATTTTAAGAACAAAGATATATTCAAAAGTTACGATTATTTAATTAAATCGATATATTTATAATATTGTTCTTTTTTTAAATAAGATTTATGAAGAAATTATCATGGTTTTTTTGTCTACATAAATTAAATTATGAAGTTGAAGTTCAATATCAATAAATTGTGTCATTAGGAATTACTTTTTTCTATTTATAATTCGCTTTTTTGAACTTTTACATATAGACTTGTATTGGGACAATTTTAATATTATTTGATAAGACAATTTGTATGAGACATCTATTATTGTTATATGATGCATATGTGAAACATGATAGAAGAATTAATATATTATAGTTTTATATGTTGTCTTATAAGAAACAAAAATTGATTATCTATAGAAAATGTTTTTTTTTTTTTGTATTCTACAAAATGAAATAAAAAACAACAGAACGTGCACTTTCATATACTTATTCATTTTTAATTTGATAAGTTTTTAGAAATCTCTTTCATTAATATCAAAAATATTCATTAGAAAACTTTCTTTATATAATTCTGATGACTATTCATTTTAAACATGTTTTCTATAATAAGAAAAACATACAAACTGAATTTCTTTTTTTTTTTTTTTTTGTAAAATATTAATGACTATGCAAAAGAGAGAAGAAATATCTCATTTGAATTTTTATTTGATTTATCGTCAACATTGATGAATGATTCATAAAATAAATCAATTTAATATTAGTTTATCTCGAATTATAAGTTTCGATGTTATAGCTTCGTCTATGTCATTTTGAATCATATATTTTTGCTACTGTATAGTAATTCATAGTTTTATTTATATAATAATTATTTTAATCAAATGTCATCGGAATGAGTTTGATAACAAAAATTTAACGATGATATAAAGACAAATAACATTTAATTCTTTGCTTACTATGCCAACAAATTTCTAATTATAGATTTCATCTGTTTATTGCATTGTGTCAACAGAGAATTTTAACAATTAAATGAAAACTTGTCAGAAACTATTTCTAAATTAATAAATGACAATGCCGATACATTTATATTCAAAAGTATTTTGAATAAAGCCTTCGACACAAATTAAAAAACCTCCTTTGATAATTGATTTATTCCAAAGAATTTCTGCAACTTATTGAATTTTTTAGCATTTGTGTTTATAACAATATCTAACCAGGGAATGTTTTCAACTAATTAGTCTCTTTTGAAATCGAACTCAATGTATGAGGTAGAATTCATGGAGATATGAGAAACCTCAAAAGGATAAGTAGACTTAAAACTTCTGTCCAGAGTTCTAGACATTTTACTAGTATTGTTCGAGACTAAAATTCCTCTAAAATGTCTTTAACTTTAGCGAGGACACCTGAGAGATTTGTCCTATTGAGACTTTTCATATTTCACTAGATTTTATACTTTATACACTGAGTTCGAATGTAAAAATGATTAATCAGTTGAAACGTTTCCTCGTAAGTTCAGTGTAGACAATAATATATACTTACGTTTTCATAGCGACATATCAGTTCCGAGTTAAAAAAAATCTTGAAAAAACAGTTAATAGGAAACAATAGTCTATTGAAAAATGCATTTCCTTATTGAAAACATATTGTGGAGTCACTTCAATGCTCTTTTGTAGCATTATCTGAAAAAAAAAATTCTTCAAGTTCTCAATAAGGAAAAAAGTTCTCATGGCCATAGGACCTAATTCACGCAGTACACATTCGTACCTTATTCTAGAAATGCTTTTTTCTTAGAGAAAAAACAGTGCATTTATGACTGAAGAAAACAAATATTCAGGTATATCGGTTGGATTTGTTCTACAGAGTATTTATTTTCGCAAACTGATCTCAAGGCAATTTTTGAAACATACAAAAAAAACCTGTTTCTCCGAAGTCATCCATAATCAGTGAAGTTAGTTTGAGATTAATAACTATGCTAGTGGTACATTTCAATATGAACGAATTCCATCTATTGTATTTAAACCTCCTTTAATAACAAATCATAATGAATTACAATATTGTATCAACAGCTTTCTATTCAAAGTCAAATGATATCAAAATTGGTCGATAATATTAATGCTGAAATAGTTCTTGGTACAATACAAAATTGACGTAAATGTGCTCAATGACTTGGCTATATACTTGTTTGTATGTTCGAATGATAAAAGGATCACAATTATATGGTGTTTACAATAAATCATTATTAGTTAATAAATATTTATTACAACGACGTTTGGATTCAATACCTTCCGCTGTTATACAATCAAATAAATTACATTTAATATGTTATGATCATTTACTCAGTCATTATTATTGTACACATGATACAATTTCTATGTCTAATCAATTGTTTAAACTAATATTAAGTGAAATAGATTTATTTCGTATATTCTCATTATAATCTGAATTTCGTCATATAACGTACGCTAGACTCTATCAATTCGCCACATATGTTTCGTGCCGACAGACATAGAAAGCAATATTTTTCACGGCAAGGTCCTATTCCGTGACGAGCCATCGGCTCTGCTACTGCCTAATGGATCTTGTATTACAAGTCTGATATTTGTAACAATGAAGATCTATTTATTTGGATTCTTTGAATTCGAATAGATATGCCCTCTCATGAGTCCGTTAACCCTTTCGCGATGATTCGATTTTCATAGGATATAGTGTGACTCACCGATGGATCATATCACTGTGAGTGGTTTAAATATCTATCGTAAAATATATATAATCTAGTGACACATTCCATTGAACTACGGCTCTCTATAATCAATTCAATAATCAATTTTTATTTTCGTTGTGGAAATCGGATGAGTGTAAATAAAAAGAACATATTCAAAATCTCTCATAGTTATCGATTTAAAATGTGTAATTAATTTTTTTTTAATCTGATATTAGGATCTTAATGTCTAGGTGAGTATGACTCTTTTTTCAGTGTGCAACTTCCTTTTACGGCCACAATTAGGTCACGTTTCGTCGAAAAATTAAATTGTAATGATAAGAAGGAGAATAGGTTATTCTCTATGCTTATATATATTTAAAGACGTTAAATCAATGATAATATCTGATTGTTCTCAATGAATTTTTCAAAAAATTATTAGAGAACTATATCAGATACACATACAAAGATGAGTGGGTTATGAATCTTGTTGCAATGAAGCTAATACACATACTCATATCGACATCCTCAGTGAGTTTCTAATTTTCATCTCATATATATACATATCTCATAATAACAAATTATCAGCAAAGTTAAGTTGATTTTAGTTGGTTTCTTTAGAAAAAATTGTTTAAAGCAATCAATGCAATGAAGCTAGTTGCTTCGAATCTGTTTTTTGTGCATTATAATTTAACTTTTCGACAGAACGGAAATTTACCACAATAGACATGTACAAGTAGAATGATCCATTTTATTGTTCTAAATTATTCATGTTTTGGATTCTAACTTATAGATATAAACATTGAACATTTATTGATAAAATAATTAAAATAAAAAACAAAAACAAATAAAATAAATGATTCTAATGAAATAACAATATACTTTTACTTTTTTTTATTATTCACTAAAAATATGACTGAATATTAGTTCGAAGACAATGAAAGTTTGTTCGTTTTGGAGTTTGAATGTTTTCTTGAACTCTTCCTACCGTACACGTATACACAGGGTTGTAATAGCTACAGCTAAAAATTAAATAACCCAATTTATTAAATAGGGATATTTAGTTGTAGTTAAGAAAATTACTATACTTGGTAAACCACCTTTTATATAAATACTAATTAGAATAACAATATTTTGAAGAACTTCAAGATCACATTTATTATAATTGTTTGATTTATTAATAGTTGTAAAATTTCTATTCATTTTCTTAATTCGATGATAATCGTAATCAATAATAGTACGATGTACAAGGCAAAAATAGTACAGACTACGTGTAATGTATTTTTCATTTGTATAAAGTAGAGTTTTTAAGGATAATAAAGAATATCTTTTGTTATAACAGCAGATGATGTAATTATGAGAACTATAAACCATTTAATAATAATACGAATATAATGTGTTTCAAATGTAATTAACTATCGATACTTAGCTAAAAGAACACAAAAAAAAATCACGATATTACTTGTAACATATAAGAATGTAATAGTCCTGCAATACTAATATAACCAAAATAGGCTCGCCATCAACAACTAATATCACTTGTTTTTCCATTATTATAGTACTTGTTTATGATATCTATAGAAATGTCACTAACACAGAAATATAATTGTTTTACTCATAAATAAATACGAAAAAAAGGAAAATATATAGTTGAGTTAAGTTAATAGACAAACTTATCATTTACAAGTAGACATGACTGTTTAGTTTTCTTTATCTCATTAAAAAAAAATGTACAAGAAGAAAAAGATAACCAAAAATAATAATAAAAAAGATACCTATTATTACGGAGAGATTATCTACTTGATAGCTCACTAACTGGCTAAAAAAGTCATGAATTCAACCTGAATGAAGAAGCGTACGTTTTCAAAAACAGAAAGTTATTGCCTGAATAAGTTTCTCGATAAAAGCTATAAAATGGCAAGTAATGATATCTTCTCAAAAAATACTCTTAAGAAATAATGAATAAAGGATATCTGATCATTTGATATTTTCATTTGTTCTCACAAATATGTTCGGATTTGCTTAACTATCTAAAACTTCGATAGTTACATTTTAAATATCTAATAAAAGCAGATGTTACTTCTATCGTTGATGAATGATGAGTTTTCAATTGTTTTACTTTTTCATTATTATGATCGATTTTCTGCTTTGTTTCTCTGAATATGTTATAGATTATAGAAGAAAACTCTGACATTTATTATGTTCTTCATTCTAAATGACAAAGTTCATCAAGAGATTTAAAAAAAAACCTTGTTAATTGTCTCTCCGATAGATTATCATTTTGATTGCTTTAGTAGTTTGTATCTATGTTAGAATGAATATGACAGTCAGCATTATTTCACATTTTATCAACAAGTTCTGAAAAGCGTCTTAAACATTTTGTTATTAACAAACTAATCATACAATGTATTTCAAATATAATTTTGTTATTCGATAAAACGACTTTGCTTCACCGTTTAAGATTAAATCCTTGTTCACAGCATCTGATTTCTTCTCTACAATAATACTCATTGATCAATTAATTAATTTATAATCATATTTTATTTCTTTATACATCTAATAAAAGTTTTTTTTTCAATATATTTATAAACAGTTATTGAATTAATTCACAATTTTATCCATTTACCAAACAGAATAAAAAAGAAAAAGAGTTGGTCATTGGATAAAGAAAATATATGGTCAAACGTGACAGTCTAGCTTTTCCTCTCTCTACAAAGTAGATTAAAGAACATAATATTTCTTCTTACGTGAATTTTTGTATGACTAATATAACTTGTATAAGTTAACAAAACACAAAAGAAAATTATTTCGTTTTTGTTCGCCATTGAAAACAATCTATACCAAAAATAGGAGATAACTGATTGTCCAACACAATTACTATCAAAAGTTTTTCTTGTCTTTTTTGTCTTCAGATTTTTGTCGTTGATAATCAAACAAAGGATTCATTCTATATAATAGACAATTTTCTCTCTTCTTATATCTTGATTATATTTCTGAAATTTGAAAAGAATTAAAGTTGCAGCTAAAATCAATAAATTTGTTCAAAGAATGATTGAAAAATAAAATCTAAAAGCTAATTAAACTATATAGGGCATAAATATTGAAAATTATTTTAATAATTGTTTAGTTTCTTTCAGTAGTTAATTCTGAATTGTGATCGTTTAGTATTTTATAGTACTATTGATAGTCTAATATCTCTTGCCAATAGCTTTTAAAAATAAACACTCATCAAAAAGTAATTCTTAGTTAAATGTACAATAAATTTTGAATTTCTTAAAAAATAAAAATGTATCTAACTTTACTTCTTTTATTAGATATGACAGAACCAAAACGAACTCGAGAGAATTCAACAAATGGTCAAGAAAAACAGCGTCAATAAATTTTTATTTCCGTTAATCAAAAAAATCATTTTAATATTATAGAACGATTCGAAACCGACGATGATGATAATCTTGATATTGACAAGTATTCCATCATGTTTGAGATGGTAAAAACCAATTCCTTATCGAGCTGCTCATTTATATTGCTTGTTGAAGAATTAAATAGACAAATAATGGCATATCTTTCGCATTAGAGGTTGTTCAAATAACAAGTCAAGAGGGGAATAGGAGGAGAGGAGAGAGAGCTGCAGGATATGATGATATCATCATTAGAAAAAAATTTAAAATCTGTGTGCCTACTCATACCAGAAAAGTAGCAGCTAGGAGATGTTTTTCTGATGTGGGTGTGGAGTGCAGGTGTGGAGTGTGAGTGTGAATGACAAAAAGATTTACAACCTTACCAACATCCACACCGACAGGCACGCTCACACCCACACACTCCCGTTCGCATGTCAAAGAGGAGAGATCCTTGTAAAAAAATGTTTCAGTCTAGTGGTTTCCTCACAATCGATTGTGAAGACCTAAATAATTAGTGCATCTTTTGGAACAATTGGAGCTTCATGGAATGTGATAGGTCACCTTCCTGAATCATTTCCATTTTTGTTAGTGACTTTTTTCAATTAGTTTCTATCACTATTGAAAAATATTGTGTTCCAGAAAAGCTAAACGTTCATCATGATAGTTTTAGAATTCTTATAAATTCTGATTCAGTTTTGCACGAAGAATCCGAATGTGACATCAAATTTTCTAGTGGATGAAATATGACAGAATTATAGAATCTCCCAAATGAAAGATGTTATCTGAAAATTGAAAAGTTGTACAAAATGGAAAGTGAGACGTTTTTAGTATTCAAGCTATACCGCTACTAACGAACAATATCTCGAAAATTTGGACATCAAAATGATCAGTCATTGGAGCTCTACAAACTCTAAGAGTTTTATTAAATTTGGAGATAGTCCCCAGATGGATCAGGAGAGATTCGACGAATATTACCTGTTGCAAGGTTGCAGGCGATCGTATTACTGAGGCTAGGACAGCAATGACGTGTTGTTTTTCGCATCCTCATCGTATAAGAAGCAGTATTCTTGCGAATTTTTTGAGGATGAGTGGATTAGTGAATGTGAAAGTCAATGTCGATTAATGATGGGTGAAACAAAGAGTTACATCTCACCTGCGAATCACTCGCACCATCATATAGTCTCTTAGCAACATACACAGACTAGTGATGTAAAATAAAAGACAATGAATGGAATCGCACAATGATGTTCGATAAACAATTCAAACTACATATAGGTAATTTCAAGTGATGTCGTAAAGAATAGCTGACAGCTTTATTCAATATAGAAAGGATCCCAGAAAATTTTACGAGTTACTGGAAATTTCTATGTATTATTTATAGATTTTATTTGATCAGTGCTGTTGTTCGATAAGTAGTTTATGCTCACGAAATTTTCTTCATCCACGACAGACTTTTTGTGCTGAAGGGCGACTCGAATTCTTGACCACTTGTAACTAATTCTACAAGATATGCCCACATTTCAATTGCTTGCTTTTGCGTGTCGCTGTCCTGTATTCAACAAATACAATTAACGTCAAAAGACAAAAGATACTCATACTCACCCAACACCACTGTTGGAAAGATCTATTTGACCAAAGGTCAGGACTAACACATCCTTTATTGATATTGATGAGTATCTCATCTCGCTCTTGTTGTTTTTCACCATCGTGAAGATGCAAAACTTGACGAGTTTTATTTACAGACATCTGTACTGTTTCAGCTCGTTCTTTGCGTACGAGCTCATATACCTTTAGTGCTGTTTGAATTTGTTCGATGCTATCAATCATAGCGAGAGAAGCTGCCAAAACAGCTCCATCTTCAACAGTTTGAGCAGCACCCTGAGCGACATATGGTAGCATTGGATGAGCCGCATCTCCCATTAGTGCCACTTTACCTTCGATCCATCTAGGTAATGATGCATGATCACATAATTTCCATTCTAAAACTTCTCCCTCAGGAACTAAGTCGAGTAACTTTTTGACACGTGTGTTCCATTTTTCATAAAACTTAATCATTTCCATCTTATCACCCTTCTTCGTCCACGATTCTTCGGTACCAACATTGTCAGGATGTAGTAGAACCAAATTTAGAAGATGATGATTTCTAATAGGATAGTCCATGATGTGTCCATCCGGTCCTATCCAGCGCCATCCAACTGAATTCTCCAACACTTCAATTAGACTAGGATCTTTGCTGTCATATATCTTTTCAGCAGAAACAATCATCCTCCATGCAGCATCACCTGTCTCTCTAAGTCGGTCCACTTGACCATGGAGTGCCAACATTATTTTCCGAATTGTCGACTTGACACCGTCAGCCACTATTACTACATCACTTCGCAGCCATTCGGAGCAATCCTTGACCTTAATTCGAGCATTCTCGAAATCAATATCATCGATATACGATCCCGTTTGAATTCGGGCACCATAATCCTCTGTTCCTCTTTTCAAGACTCTTTGAAGATCAGCGCGGTGTGCAACCCAGATGGGAGCTCCGTATGTCTGCTCGACATCGGTCATAGATACTCGGACAAGCAGGCACTACTTGAGGTCGCAATAGATCCAGAATTCTCCATCGATGTAGAAGTCGAGACATATTAGGACCAATTTGTATACCTGCACCAACCTTTTGCAATAAAGCAAACAATGATTGTGACTCTGTTAATGAGAATTGAAATAAAAAAGCAAACACTAACTTCTGTAAGTTCAGCAGTAGATTCGTATACGATAACCTTCATACCAGCCTGGACACAGGCCTATGTCAAAGTCGACAAAATCATCATAATCAATTGAATCTATTTGTAATCAAAAATAGTAATATCAAGTGGCTTACTGTAGCAGCAGCAAGACCGCCAATACCAGCGCTGACAATAGCAACATTGAGCGGTATTTTTGCTTTAACATTATCGATTGACACCATTCACGATGTTTACCTATTGGATTCGTGACAATATCTGGAAAATTGAGTTTTATCACATAACGAAATTTGAAACAACTGTGGATGGTGAATGAAGAACACGACAATTCCTATCAGTTGAATTTAACAAAACTATTCAAAAAGATGAGATTGCATAGTTATTTCTCATTATATTTATTCAAAAAATAAAACCTTGACAATTTTCAGTTATCAAATGTCATGTGAAGAGAGCTAGTCAATTTGATACTTAATATATCAAAGTTAACGCAGATGCTCAACGATGATCTAAATCAAACGTAGCTGATATAATTTAAAATAAATTGATAAATTGGATAGATGAGTGTTTATTAAAGTTGCGACTGCAATTAGCTCACTTTATTATCCTTCACCCTTACTGTCAATTCATCATCTTGTTCACTTGTCACATCACTGTTTATGTTGTTCCCAAGTCTTGGGTTAACTATTAGAATGAACGATAAGAGAATAGATAAATAAATGTTGAAAAATTATTAGATGTCTTATGATTTATATGCTAAATTTGTGCTTTCTTACTTGTTTATGTATATCTTTTTTTTTTAAAGTTATTATTCATCATCTGAATATTCATTTGTCTCTTTTTTGAATAAGATCAAATATTCATTCTTGTGACAGAATGCATCAACTTTTATTTCCTTCAACATGATTCTTTTGTTCGGCCCAGCCAATACATAAGGATTATATTTTCCAATAGGCCGTTTACTTGTTTTTCTTTCTCAACCTGTCTCTTGTCCTGCGATAAAGTTTGAGTTACTGTAATCCTGAAATTTGTCACTATTTATTTGCTCGAATGATTTCAATCATGATTTCGTTTGTTGAAATATATTTTCGTATAAAACTCTGCATATGCATAGATACACACAAACAAACACATACACTAGTATTAAAAATGACATATTATCGTTTCAAACGATCTAATTTACAATAATGATCAAGACCAGACAACGAGAAGAGAAATTTTGTTTTTTTTTTAAATAAACATGAAAAAAAACTATTGTTGTAGTCACTGTATTTTTCATTTTGTTTAATTAGATTCATTTATATATTGTTGTGGTTCTTGTTGTTGTTTTGATATAACATAATGATGAAATTTACTTAATTCACTTGTATTTTGTGTATAAATAATAGCTAATCGTTCAATAAGAATTTTTAAACAATATGCACTTGTATAAATTAAACCAAATTTAAGCATTAAAAAGCCAATACCTTTAAAAAATCCACGTCCCCATTTTCCTTCAGTTTCAATTATTGTTCGACAACAATCAACCAAACCTAAATAACGTGTATTTATTGGAATACAACCAACATTTGTTGTATCAAGATTATCAACAATTGTTCGTGTTCCTTGTACAAATAAACGATTAAGTATAGTTTCATATGGATAAAGTAAAAAATTTGATAGAAATACAGATAATATATTTGCTTCTATACGTATAAATGAACGATCGATTAGATTTGGTATTGTATCAATTAATTGACATTCAATATCATCAATTGTTTCAAATTGTTTTTTATTTAAATTTACTAGTTGATCTTTTTTATGAAAATTTTCTTCTCGAAATCTTAAAAAATGATGATTTAGAAAATATTGTAATACATGTCGTCCAACAAAATAAGGTAAACTTAATGATATAAGATACCATAATGGTAATGCACGTGCATAAAAACCAGTTTTAACTCCAAGTAAACGTTGAAATGGTTCAATAAAAATCGTTAATGGTGACCAATGATTAGCAATTGTTAAATCCGATTGAACAGATCGAAGAAGATGAACTGAATACATAGGAATAAGTAGAAATGAACTTATTGTTTTTAATACTATATGTTTTATTCTTAATGATACGTTATTTAATGGAGCTATTTCATCAATTAAATTATTTGATATTGTATCCAGTGTTGTTAATATAAGAGAACTAAAACAACCTTTCCATAATACTCCACTTCCTTGTTGATATTTCATTGTATAAACCATTCGTATAGCAGATAATGGTGTTATATAGGCACGTGATGATTCACTTTGAATTTGAGCTTGACGTCTAAAGAATTGTGTACAATAGAATCAATGAAAAATTCAGAAAATCGAATAATATTGTTCAAGATTCAAAGAAATTTGATATAGCACATAAATTCTAAACATTGCATTATTTTTGTTGGCTACACTTTATCACAAAAGATTTTTACAAAGCTGTTAGTGCCATTCATGCAGGATTAAAATGTAAAAAATTATATAGCAGTTGTTACTAATTACAGAGAGATTATTTCATGTTATCTTTTTTTGCAATATGTTTCTTCACTAACATTTTACTTAATTCTCTAATCAGAAAGCAGTTCATTTATTATAACGAAATATTATTGGTGTATGGGAGAAAAGCCAACTTATTACCACTATACATCAAAACTCATTTTAGATCATGTTTATCTCAAATGTCTATCTTTTGATGAATATCTGTTATGAAAAACGAATTTATTTTTAGTATAGATGGAAATGATTTGCTATGTATCAGACAGATCCTATCTTTGATTTTGAACACATACCTTAATGTTTCAACTGAATAGAAAATAAGATTTTCAAGTACCCATTTACTAATATTAAGTGAAACATCAATATTATGTTGTAAATATTGTTGACGTCGAATATAATAATCATCAATTTGTTCCATTAAATTTGTTTCATCATCATTATTTAATACAAAATTTGTTTGTTCATTATCATTTTTTTTAATTAAAGGACTCAATAAAAGGCTAGCTGGTGATGCCGGTAATTGTTGTATAAGACGTGTTGGACTCTGAAGAAATGATGGTAATGAAAGTTTTTGTGTTAATGATGATGATAAATTATCATTTGTAACATTTATTAATGAATTTTCCGATGGTGATGAACGTAACATTTCTTCAGCAATATGTGGTGGAAGACGTGGTCGTTGAGAATTTAAAGGTGAATTGAGATTTAAATTTGGTGATAATGAAGAATGATTAGGTCGAAAACCCATACTAGTCTCTGGATAGAAATTCATATCATTCATCTAGAATAAAAAGTTTTTTTTTTTTATTATCACAGCGCGTCTTTTTTTTTCTGTATCTAAGTTTCGAATTGTGTATTAAGCATAAATTTAATTTAAAATATTAAAAAAAGCAATAATCCTTATTTTTCCTCTTATTACATAAAAATAAAAAAGATGACAACAGTATTTCGTTCATGTTTACCACAATTTTATTCTAATACAAATCAATCGATATCTAATGATAATTTATCAATTAGAACAAATTCAAATATATCACTTGATGATAATCATCCAATTGATTGTTCATCAATAATATCAAATCAAAATCTTATGAAATCAAAAATAAAAAATACAACAAATTCATTTGATTCATTGTCAAAAAATGATTTATTATTATCATCTAAACAAACTAGAATATCTCATATGAAAAACAATAATAATAAGAATAATACTAAAAAACGAGGTCCCTGTTATACACGTATTAATGAACAACAAAAACCATTATTAAAACGTCTTGTTAGTACAATCTTTGGTGAACATAAATCTAATGATAATGAAAATGAAATTTTAACAATTAAAAAACAACGATCACAACGTAATTCAAAAAAATCTACTCTTCCATCAAAATCAATCATAAAAAAACAATTCGAAGATAATGAAAAAACTCTACGTTCACTTGTTTCTCTTCTAACACAAATCGAATCAAATATTCAATTAAAAACAACTCCTACATCTTCTATAAATATAATAACAAACGAAAATGAAAACAATAATCTTTCTATTGAAGAAAAACAACAATCTCGAAATAATAATCGTATGGATGATACGTATGTTAAAATGAAATTTTAACAAAAACAAAAAAAAAAAAAACAATTCGTAACACTATTGTTTTTCTTCTTAGATGTTCATCTCATTCAAATGATAGTTATCATCATAAATCAAAAGTTAAACATAATCATCAACATTCATCAACATCGAAACGTTATATAAATAATCGATCAACAAAAAAACATTATTGTAATAAAAAAAAACAATCCGAAGATAATATTCTTAGTTCTTCATCAGTTATATCTCATTATTCATTATCATCTACACCTATTATTCGACGAAAAATGATTGATAATCAACAACAAACTCAAATTCATCCAATAAAAATAAATATTGGAACATCAACACAATCTAATAATACAAATGATATCATCACATCAGAACCATCATGGTTAGATGTTATGCGTGAAGATCAAACAACAATTAATGCATGGGCTCGTATTCGACGTCGACTTAAACCTAATCAACAAAAAGATATTCTTAAGTAAAGAAAAAAAAATTTCATAGTCATAAAAAAATATATAGAAATATGATTTCATTCAAACAATATTCCGAAAGATAAGGATTTTCTCATGAGTTAATTTACCTCTGTTAGAATTCGAAACTCTTGCGCACTATTATACGTTTTGCGCTGTCAAAGTTTTGAATCGTTCTTCAAGAGAAAATCAGGATAAAACATTGCAACGAAGTCGAAACTATAGTAAATAAAGAATAGAAATTATTCTAGATAAGTTAACTAATCTTTAGTAGATAAATCTTTTTAATTAACAAATAGTATAATACGAAATATCTGTTACAAAACTTAATAAAAAAAAATAATCAAACATATTCAAAAGAAATAACTAGTATCAAAAATAAAAAGCTCACCTACTACAATAGTAGAGTGTCTTGATTATCAAAACATTCTCATTTAGGTTAGATGGAATTATACTAACTCGAAGATCACATTCAAACATCGGATCGTTTTCATCATGGAAACGACATCTATATTATACAGTTTTCGTTAAAACTTCTTATCAAATCTATTTCATAAAAATTTATATTCCTTAACATTTTCTAATTAAAATATTTTTTATTCTAGAGCATTAATGATTATTTGTGCTAATCTATTCGAAGTACCTATTGAAAATAAACATGTATAGTCGACGGAATTGAATTTTATTTTTTCAATAACATATTAATTATATTTTGTGAATGAAGGAATGAAACAAACAGACGAAACTGCATAGAAAAAAAAACCAAATGGCAAACAAAAATAGGAATGAGAGAAATTGCACTAATAAGTAAAGAAATTCAGATCAATAATAATAAGAATTGTTAGAAGGTTTGTCTACCATTCTATAAAGTCCCTAGAAAATGAAAAAAAAAAAAACAAATTATTTCAAAATAATAAGAAAAAGAAAATAAAAAGATCAATTTAAAAAAATACCATTTGTTCGATTATTAATATTTGATAATTGAAATATTTGATCAATTTCTTTTTCTGACCATGGTTGTTGCCATTTAAGATAATGTTGAAAAATTTTTAATGCTCGTCCTTGATTATTAAGAAAATTTGAAATACGTTGTTTAAAATTTTCTTCCATATTTCCATGTTTTGATGATATATGTAAACGTATACATTCACGTGAAAGAACAACAAAAAATTCTTCATGTGCACATACATGACAACGATAAAAAACACTGTGTGTTAACCATTTATTGGATATTTCATTATGAGATAATATTACTGATTGTGCTTGATATGATGGTACAACTTCTAATGTATCAGGAATTTTAGAATTTGTTGAAGATATTTTTCGTGTATTTATACGTTTAGATTTTGTTGTAGAATTTTCATCGATTTTATCGATTGATACAGAAAGTTTTTTTATTGTTGTTGAATTCGTTGAATGACGTGAAGATGAATGTTTAGTATTATCATTTGAACAATTTACTATACGTATACGAGCACCATCATTAAGTACAACAGATTGATATTTTGGTAAAGATTCATTTGTCTGTTCTCGACTTAGAATTGGACTTGTAGTTTTCTTAGTCTTTGGTTCGCCTATATGAGATGAAGATGAAAATAAGAATGCTTCATTATTTGTTCCACTAAAATATAAACAGAAGATAACAAATTGAGATTATCTAAGATAAAGAAAAAACATGTAAAATGAATAGATGGACCGTACTTATTAGGATGCCTCATCAATTGAATACAAATCTAATGTGTTTCAAGTTCAGTATTGCTAGTCGTAGACAGATTTCGAATAAATCCTGAAAGATTGTTTACTTAGGATTATTCCTCCGACAGCATTTTGACTACATTTAGACACATGCACTAGTACTTGTAGTTCAGATTTGCACTCTGTCCTTAATTACAGGTACAAAAAAAAATATAGGAAAGATATCGAACTAATGAAACTACCTCCGTAGGGATGTCCTATACGATCAAGTAGGTAAAAGATTGAATACTTTTTCTCATTAGACAAATTTTATTGAGACTAGAGAAAATGTTAAAGGATTTGTGTCAAAAAGTCTTTCTTTTAGTGAATATGGCATGACTCTTCTCAGATTACTTTTAAATTTCGAATTCAAACATTCCACAAATAAAGTGCTCAACAGATATAGCCTATAAAAAGAAGTGATCAAATTTTTCAGTATCTCTCTTATCTCAAAAATATAAATATAGAATATTTCATCAATTCTGAACATCGACAATATAATATCGAATGATATCTTCTTTTATAAGAATAGTATATGTTCAATTTTTCGAAATCAGACAATACTTTTAGTTTAAGAAACTATCGATCTTTACACAGGATAGTCTCTTAATAAGAAGATGCCTATTTCTATATTTACCAGTTTCTGAACATTTATCTCTCATTAATGTTCATGCCTACACATTTTTCGGTACACGAATCAAATTCATTTGTTCGTTCAAAAAAAAAAATATGTAGAACAAACGAAATTATATATACTAAAAATGCTACAACTAAAAAGCAAGGAACTGAACATAGACTTCAGTTTTGAAATCTACTATTTGTCATTCGAGTGAACTTCTCTTACATGTCGAAAATCGTAACTTTGAGATAGGGCTTCCATTCTATAGTGAAAGGTTATTTATGTGATTCTTTGACTTACTCTTGTGACTGTTGATGATCAGTACTAGATAGATCACATTGTAATGGAGATCCAACTGTTAAATCCGAAATATCTTTTTTTTCACTATCATTTAAATTACTATTTATTTGATTATCACTAAATTTCATAGGAAATTTTTTAAATCGTGTTTCTAAACGACGACGATCATCATATTGTTGTTGTTGTTGTCCATTATTTATTTGTGTAATAGACATTCCCGATGATGATGATGTTGTTGATGATATCGAACGTTTTTCAATTTCATACGATGAATCATCATAACGACGAATTTTTAATGGTGGTATTGATAATTCATTATCATGATTTATTGTTGATTCATGTTCAGTATCATTATTATTATTATTATTATTATCATCATCATCATTATTTGTATCATTATCTACATCATCATCATCATTAGTTTCTGAATGAAATGATTGAAAATAATTACGTTTAAATGTTTTTTGTAAATTCATTGTATAATCATACATAGTTTGTCGTAAAATATTTATAAATGATAATGATGTAAATGAAATTTGATGTTGATTATCATAATTATGTACAATAAATTGAAATTCTTGACTTGCTATTGAATTAATTAAATGAAAATAAATTCTTATATTAAATAAATAATTTTTTAATATTGGATTTATTGATAATTTAACTAATGTATTAAAATTAGGTGAAAATAAAAGTGGATAAATATGATTTGTATTTGAATTAATTCGTTGACGTGAATATATTTTTGTTGGAATATTTATAAAAAAATTTGTTTGATTAAATATATATGGTAGAAATTCTTTTGAACGATGTTTATTTATTGTTGTTGTTGATGTAGAATTTTTTTTAAATAATGTATGTTTAATACGATTATAAAATAGATCACGTTCATGACGTGAATATTTATAAATATGATAAGATGTTAATTTATTATTTAATATATTTAAATTTATATTTTCATCATTATCATTTATAGTTAAATTAGATGTTTCGAAATCATCGAAATTACAATATGTATCATCAAATGTTAATGGTTTTGATGATAAAATATAACCATGAGAATATAAATTTGATAAAGGTATTTGAAGATTAATATCACTTGTTTGTATAGAATAATTATAATTATTTGAAGTCAATTTTTTATTTGATGGTTGTAGTTTAACCACTAGAAAAATAATTTAATACAAAAAAAACATGGAAAATAAAACTCAACTAACTGTCGAGGATATCAAGTTGAGTTTGATTGAATTGGGATGATAGACAAATTTTATCATTGAACGTTTTACTGGACTTTTTTATTTGACATTGTAAAATATGAGCATTTAAAGTAGCACGATTAGGAAATTCATCAGAACAAAATTGGCATAAATCTACTTGATTTCCTAAAATAAAACATGAATTATGATATATCAATTTTTCGAATAAACAAATCTTATGTGTTAGTATGTGATCGCTAAAAGCAATTTCTATCAAAATTGATTTCGAACTTTCGTCTGTAGATAGATCTCAGTGACATGAAGAAAACTCTAGAAGTGTTCGTATTCATAGGCTGCTGATCCGATGTTATAAGCGTTTCACTAAATGTTTAGCCTACAACATGGTATTTATAGAAAAATCAAATGAAAATATTTGAACCTGATACTCTACCTATGAACAGGTCTAATGATTCGTAACCTGTAAAAAAATTTCAATCAAAATTGATGCTTACTTCTTTGGACATTGAATTTTTGAAACATGTCCACTTACCAGAAATATTTTGATTGAAAGTTTTGGCACATGTTACGAATTATTAGACCTTTTTTTTATGGACAGAATATCACATTGCAATATCTTCATTTGGCCTTGATATGGATACAGTGTCATAAGCTAAAAATTCAGTAAAACGTCTATAACATCGGACTATCATTTCATGAACACAGATGCTTCTAGGATTTTCTTAGTCTCATTGAAGCTTACCTATTGCTAAATTTGAAGTTACAAGCTCGAAATTAGTTGAAGAAGTTTTCTCGTTAGATATTTCAAAAAAGAAATACCAGCCTAATCGACTAAAGTTTGATGCGGATTATAATACACCAGTATATGGTTCTATGGAAAGCACGGATTTTCTCACTTAAACATTCTCTTCCTTAAATATATTTCTCCTTATTTTTAATGTTACGATCTGTAGTAAAAATTTCAGCATGACCATTTACACTGTCTTCGAGAATTAAATACAATGGGAGTATCCCCTTTCAGGAATAGTTCATTCCAAAAATAAATAAATAAAATGATCTTCTTAGGAGAAAATATTCCAAAGTGGTTCGCTCTGTTTGCCTCTATACTTCATTCGTATGTAGGAGATTCATGAATTCTAACCGGAAACTTTGTACACATGTAAAACTGAATACATGAACTTTTCGAAAACTGAACTCCAACAGAAAGAATTTGATAAAAGGTATGGCAAAATAAGAAGGACACGAAGGTGAATCACTTAGGAAAGTTCTCTCGTTAATATTTCAGAAATAACTGGATCACGTTTTTTGAAAATATAAAAATTTTTCAATTAAAACAAACAATCGATCTGATTTTGATCAGTTTATCATTAGTCCGAGCTTATGTCATACATTTTAGTCTATAGAATTCAAACTGAAGTTAGTAAATGACCGATAGTCTTTATGGATTGAAAAAATGAACGACTAGAGATATGCAAGATCATGTTTAGCTCAAGCTGTGATCGGAACTAAAAAGAGTTGACCCTGCATATCTTTATTCAGAACAGTCATCGCTCTTAAGATCATTGACTTTCCGATAATTTATATTTTCACCTTGAGATGATTTACTTTTTCATTTTATAGATTTGAACGAAGTTAAAACAAACAATAATTCTGTGACAATGAGAACAATTGTTTGCTTTTATTTAAAATAAATTTTAAATATTCAGACTGATAGAATGAAAAGTGAATCCTTTTAAGAAATTGTTTAAATAAGATGATCGAGCTATTTCAGAAATACTGCAGGAAACATTTTTTTTTAATTAGCTATTCAGATGTATGTTGAACATATGTTTTAAACTCGAAAAAATTCACAGTCTACAAAAACTAATTAATGATTTTTCATTTGTTTTATTTAACCATGAAATAAACTCAAAGTTATTTAATATGGTTTCGGAAAGAGTCAGAAGTTAATCTTATCATTTTCATATTTTAGAATACGAAAATATTTATTTCGAACTCATTTTCAACAAATTAAAATTTTAATATTTATATTCATAAAATTATTCATTCTTTATTTTTCTCGATATCATCGGCAAAAAAAACTACGTCCTAGTTCTTTTTGATATTAGGTCTATAAATGTTCTATGTTTAGAATGCAAAAATATCTTACACTAAGTAACTTATTATATATATATCGATATAATTTATCAAACTGAGACCTCTTGTCAATTATTTGTCAGTAATCATTAATAATCATACCGTACAATATCATAGACAATGTACTCGATAAAGAATATAAAGCCATCTGTTCTATAGAATTTAATATAACATTATCAAACTCGACAATTGATTTATTATTCAATATATATAAATTTTTTTTGTAATTAATTTATGTTATAAATCAATATAAAATTTCTCTTGTCTAAAAATTCATTTAACAATTTCTAAACATACCTATTGATGAATTAGCCATGATATTTGAACCATAAAAAATAAATAATCACCGGAAATCGTTAGTTTAGCACATATTATCCTCTTTCATGATCTAAAAAGAAAAGAAAAAGAAATCAACAAAAAAAGGAATATATGAATTTATTCAAGTACAAGTGTTTTTTTGTATTTCCTAAGGTCATTATCAATTAAGTATTGAATATTTTTTTATAATAATGATCATTACTCAATTTCATATATCAATGACAATAAAATGTATCTATGTTTAATACTAATGCAATGAATATTTATTAGGAATATTCCATTTTACATAATAATTTTATTATTGTGAAAAAAAAAGACAAGGTCTCGTATTGTCAAGGTAATTTTTCTTTAAAACAAATTCATGTATGAATAATTGAATAAATTTTAATCTAAGATAAATGACATTTTAATGAATATATTTCATAAAATCAACAAATATATCCATTTTATATATTGAAAGAAAAGACACAAGGAAGAGTGAAAAATAGAATATAAATTGTATTTAAATGAAAATTATTGATTGGATAATATTGTTTATGTAAAATAGTAAATTATTTTCATGCATATATAGATGACGCCATTATTAATTTCAATTTGAAGAAAAAAATTTTTTAAAAAAAAAAAAAAAAAAAAAGTAAGAATTTTTTTTTTTTTTGATGAAAATGAATATGATTATCATGCTTTTTTTTGTTTTCATATATATTGATCGAATGAAACGAATGCGAAACATTATTTAACTTACCTGAAAATGTTATGTAAACAAATATTTTTACGATGAATTTTACTATTTGATTTATTTTCATTCATGATTATTACTCATCTCTACTGAAGAGAATATACATTTGAATTTTATTATTCAAATATTCAATATAATTGTAAAAATTCATTGTTTCTAATCTAATCTTTATCGTTTTCAAGATTTTATTTGATAGTAGCGTCATCTGTAATTAATATTTTCTAAATTTTGGACTGAATCAGAAGAATTTGAAAGGTGAATCATAAAATAAATATTCTCATATATTGATTGATTTTCTCAGATAAAAAAAAATAATATAAATGTCTTCACATGAATATAGTCTTCATTTTCTTGTTAATGAACTTGTACGAACATTAAAGTAATATTCAATATTTATTTCTAATTCAATAAAAAAAAAACAAACCCTAATTTTAGTGTTAATTTAAAAGGAATACAACTTGCACCTGAAGCTATTGTTGATTATTTTAATAAGAATACAAATCGACAAGCAAATACTTATACACCTGTAATATTCATTAAATAATTTAATTATATTTAGTTGAATTTTATTTTTCTTAAGGCTGAATTATCTGATGCTAAACGAAAATTATATTCAAATTCTTTATCAGCAAATGAATTTACTGAACTTTATGATAGTTTAAAAGCACGACAGTATGTTATCTATTGAATATTTTTAAAATAAAATAATATTTTGTTTGTCTTATATTTAGTGTTCGAGATTTGGATTCAATTATAGTAATTCTTTCTAATATCGTCGATAATCCTGAGGTGAACATATAATTACTATCGCTTTGCTAAATAGATCTATATTAGTTTTGAAATTATATTTCGATTGGTGTGTTTTTTTTTCTCAGATACAAGATTTACTCAAGCCTGCACGTTCAAAATCAACAGTAATGACAAGTCCTCAACAAAAACGTCTTAATACTCAACCACGAACAATAACAACAAGTCCAACATCAACAATCAGTAAAGTTCATTCTTCACATATTCTTGCTGAAGTTAGTTATTTGTTTTTTTTTTGTTTTTGTATTTTATAATTTTGTTTTGTTTGAAATTAAAAATAGATGAAAGATACATTACTTCGACCAGCAACAGCAACAATATCACAACCTGCATCAATTATATCTGAGAATGATATTCGTCGTCGAGGTAAATGAATGATTTTGTTTGTTTTTTTTTCTCTAATTATTTGTTTTCTTTTAGTATTAACACCATCATCATCAACAGAATTTCTTGGACGACCAGCATGGTTTAATGAACGATTACGACTTGTATGGGATTTTTATCCAACACCTGAAAAATTTGAACCAGTAGGAAAAAAAAAATCAATTTCATTTTCATAAAGTGTTCTTTTTTTTTTTTTGAATTTTCAAGGATGTTGCTATTGGACGTCTTTCAGTTATAGAACAAGAAGCTATTATTGTTGAAGATCTTCTTTTATGTATGCTAGTAAGTATTTAGTTTTAGTTGAGAATTAATTAGTTAGTTATTTATTTTGAAAGGGTATTGAAGGAAAATTTATAAAAACACCATCATTAACAGATAAACAAGCACAACGTTCATTTCATATTGATCGATCATTAGGTATGATTATAATATTATTTCAATTGTAGATTTGTTTTTTTTTTTTTTATTAAATTAGATCCAACTTTAAGAGATTTAGCACGACGAATGGTACCATTATGTTCTAATCATTCATTAATTGTACGATTTATTGAAGGTAAAAGTTGAAAATATATAAAATTTAATGAATAAATTATTTTTTATTTAGATCGTTCTCAATATAAATATGGTTTAATTAATCATGCACTTGCTGGAGCTTTAAGAGAAGTTGTTCAAGTAAGAATTAATTGAGAAAACTTTTTTTTTTGTTTTCATCGTATGTAGAATTTTATTTTTATATTTAAAATTAGAGATATTATGTTTTTGTTAGTCAACTTGAAACACAACAACAACAAGGTCAATTAACATTACAAACACTATGGTTTCATACGGAGCCTGTTATGGAAATGATGGAAATTATAGCAAATATTGTTAGAACATTAAATAAGGTATAAATTAAGAGAATAGAAGATAATTTTTGAAATACAGAATGTTCGAAAAGTTTACATATATAGTTCATAAGCGATTTATATATTTTCAGACAAATGTTTGTGTCTGTAAACATTCGAATAGAAATAATTTTGTTGATGGTTAAATTTAAGTTGCTTATTGTTGAGAAAGAAAATGTACAAAATACTTTATTTTTCGGACGAAGTGCATTGAAGTGGTTTATTGATAAATATAAAAATCAAAATTTAGGTGTTTCACATATATTTAAAGATTTGATATGAATTGGAAATAAGAATCGATAATGGAACTAAATTGACTCAAAAATAAAATTTCTCAGTATCTTTTCAAAGATTTTCGAAATTGAATTTGTTGAATTTCTCTGATAGTGTTTAAAGTTTTCCATCATTTTGTATATTCATGTTATAATTTAACTTTACTTTCTAAAAAACAAAAAAAACGTCATATGGCAGAATGTCAAATTCTTTCTTGATCGAAATTTTGAACGATTTTAGTTTTTACTAATACCCTGATTAATATTTCAAATATTGACGAAAACTTCTAGTTTTTATGTCTTCATAAATTTTATTTTGATATTTTTACCAATAAATCTGAATACTTTCCTTTGTATAATGTTTTATACAAATCCTCAATAGAAACAAAATAGCGCGGTTCTAAAATATCTGAGCTGAATGGTTGAATTTCTTATAATGAATATATCTTACATTCAATAAAATTCATTCATACTTTAATCTATTAGAATAATCATTTACACTCTGGTCTAGACATTCATTTACTTTCGAGTGTAATATCTTGAATTACTATGCAACAGAAACTTTTGATAATATTTAGTACAGCTAGCTAATAAAATATGAAATATTGTATGGACTATGTTATGTGATATTCTCAACAATACTTTTCAGCAATTTACTAAAAGCTAAATGTTTCGAAAATGAACACTGTCAGAATATTTAATATCCCGTCAGACTAGAGAGCTGCGGGTCCATGTTTTTTTGGACCCGGACTCGGGCCCCAGAAAAACTAAATTTTCAGACCTGGACCCGACCCGGACCCGGCTGAGTCTAAACCCGATCCTTTTTTCACCAATATTTGGCACCCTATGTGTACATGAACAGAAAAGGGAACACAATTTTAGCTCTTTATTGGCGACTTTAAAGGTAAAATGAGTGTAAAATTATTTCTGACTGTTTCTTTTTCAATTTTGTTGACTTCAATTGTTATTGTTATATATTTCCATTCATAACTTAATGCAGATCGCGTCTGACTTTTCTCTTAGGTTTAGACCCGGATCCGGGCCCGGGAAAAGCTAAATTTTCAAGCCCGGGTCTGGAAGGACCCGCAGCTCTCCACATCAGACATATCTAATTATTTTTGTCAACAGTTAATCTCAAGAGTAATAAGGAAAATTAGAAACAAGAATTGAAGAAATAGCTAAAAATCATTCTTTTTTTGTTCTAGTGTGTACCATTTCCGAGTATTCCCTTGTTAGACATAAGTATTGAAGGTGATAGAAAATTTCACATATAATCAGAATTTATAATCACTTCTGTAAAAAGGTATTTCTCAAGTGAGAATAAGATTAAATAATACATTGAACGATTTCTAGAAAAATTATTTCATTGGAATATTCTTTTACTAGAATGATTTTTTTTTAGTAAATAAAAACATAGATAGACTAGATGATTGAAAATTCCAAGCATTATCATAGTATTTGATTAGAGTTTTTACAAGAATATGTTGATGAAATATTGAAAAAATTGATTGTATATAATTTTTTTTTTCGCATGTAGATAATATTCAAACAACATATTCAAAATTCTATTGTTCATAACTAAGAGAAAAATTTAAGCGCAATTCAATTTTTCTTGTGGAAGAAAAACTCAATTGCTACGAAAAATTTTATCATCTTCTCAATCATTTTGATAAATATAGTTTTCATTAGATCTCGATATTTGATCTTTATTATTCTTGTTTCATAAATTATAAAATAATATAAGTATATGCTAATAATCTATATTTCATTTGACATATGTTAATCATCATAAAATTAGCTTCTAAAAGTATTTTATTATTCTCTAATTTCATATATTATAGAAAAACATTTTTAATTCTCGTTAAGTCATAAAAAAATTTACTTCTTCAAAAAAATAATATATAATCGGCAACTG